ATATTAATTTTAACATTTATTGTAAAATGTCACATAATTTCCAATATGGTTTGCATGACAAACCTGCAATTTACAAGTATAGATATATATTCATCTAAGGGATATTAAGATGACATTGGAAATAATAGGATTCAAATAAGATTTGATGGCAAACCTTAACAATTTTTAAATGATATACCATTTAATTTTTATAATTAAATGATCTCATCACACCTGCACATGTAGAAAATTTGAGCAAAGTTTTTTTTGTTTTTCTTCTTCATAAACATGCATTTTAAGTTAGTTTCATAAGAAAACTGAAATAAATATCATTGTATTATGACATTTAAATAATGTCATGAACCCAGATATCATTCATTAGATCTTCTCTTTTTTACAAGTCATCTTGACAGTCTTGTCACTCACTGCATTCTAGTTATTGCATTTAAATAATCATCTGTCAATCATTCAGGAGATAAATTTTATCTGACAGCATTGAGCATTTATGAGAGGTTGCTAAAAGGTTCCCTTTCTAACCAAGAAGCTCTCCTCCAAAATAATTTCATGTTTGGTCATTTGGTCAGATTTTGGGCAGTGAGTTGTCCAATAATCTTTCAGCATCCCCAGTAGTACAATTTTAAAATATTTAAGCTTATGTTAAGCTGCCTTGTGTTGGTGGCACATGACAAATTAGTATATAAATTATCAATATATTTTTTAATGCTAACACAGCAACTAAATAATTTTTTTTCTATAATAACTATTATAGTTTACAATGCAATCAAATTTTTTTTCTCTAGAATCACCATCCCAAAGAAAATAGTAAGCTGATCTCTGCCAGTTATACTCAAACATTTCTCCTTATACAATATTAAGACATTAAAAACAAAAAATGAGTTATAAAATAGTTTTGAAAATTTAAGGCTTAAACCAGAATTATTTTAATAATTAAATAGCTAATGAAATTTGTCCCTTTTTAATTAATAACATAAGATAGTGTTTTCTAACTTTGGTGATTCTAAACCTTTTAACTTTAGTTAACTTTAATTTTTATAATGTTAAGAGAAAATATAGTAAAATCTGTCTTTAATTACAGTATTTAATTTCAAAGAATTAGTGAATATTATTAGGGAAGAGATTTTGTTACTTGATTGTTGTTAAAAAATATGTTTCTAACCTAGATTTTTGTTGACCTCTAACATTTTTGCTTTTTATGATAAAATATTGGTCTGGAAAATTTCATTTATTTTTTACAACTCTAAATAAATAAAAAAAAAAAAAAAAAATGAAGTTCCTGTAATATGAGATTTAAGAAGAAATGAAAATATTCTAACCTAAAATAGTAACATTTGCATTATTGCCATATTTACTTCATGTGGCGTTTTCTTTTTGTGAATCAAATACTCTCACAAAATACATTCTCAATTATATTTTTATAGCAAAATTACTGTTAGATATATTTTGTGCAGTTGTATATCATGCTTATTCATTAGGTTGACTATTTTTACTATTTTGTATTACATTTTTTCATAAACTTCTGTAGGCATAACAATGGTCTTCCATTGGAATATGTATATATTTCTTAATCAAATTCTTTAAATAATATACACATATATATATATATATTCCTCCTCCTCAAGGAGAGCTGTGTGATTAATTGTATCTGTCACTTAACTATATATTACTAGACCTAAAATTAAAATTTCCCATAAAGTTGTTATAATAGAACTTGAAAGAATTCAAAAAAATCTGATCTTCACATGATAGGACAAAGGCTGAGCATTTGTGATTTTTAGCTAATTATTAACTTGCGACTTGATTGCCTTCAAATTCTGTCTAGTGATGTCATTTTTTTTTTTCTTTTAAATTCACTAAGATTTCACTAAAATCTCTTTCAGAATTGAGATTTTTGGTCAAATAAAAGAGTCAACTAAAATATATTATCAATTTCATCTTTAGTTTTTAGAACTTTATATTTTTTATCTTTTTGTTCTTTCTCTATAACATTTGTTATTTACCAATTCAAGTTTGGTGTGATTCATTTGTAACATTTTCGTCTGTTGTAATAAATTAATTTGCTTAATCATAAACAATGAAAATTAGTTTCTCAGTGTTTTAAGTTTAATTTTTTTTTTCCATATAAATCAACTGAAATTTTAGCCCACATGAACCAGATGTTGGTCAGTGAGAAAAATAAACATATCTAGTTTCTGTATGGCAAGTGGCAATTTAACCTGTTCTTTTCTAAAAATAATGCTGACTTCTAGATTGTCTGCTCCCCCCCCCCCAAAAAAACACAGCCATCTTTTTTTTTCTTTGAGTTATATAGGATAATTCTATTTGTATATCTGGTAGATATGGTGTCTGCTGATATAATTCAAAATATTGATCTAAATAGTTTATTACTCTACATTTTACAAAAGTATACAAAGTTTTTTTTTTTTTTTTTTTTTTTTTTTTTTGTTATATAATAATGTCATATCTCAAATGAAATGTCAACAAGTAAATAAAAAATATCAACATCAATAAAATTTATTTTGGCCAATTATACTTTGGATATTTCAGATGATTTATCATAATGGAAGTTGCTGAGAGGTTCTCATTCCAACTCTTTCAAAAAGGAAATTTGATGTTGGGTAATTTGGGCTTAAAATTTGGGTTGTATCAATATGCTGAAGTTTGTGTATGTTTCTATATCATAGCTAAATGGAAATTCCTAGTTTTTTTTTTTTATTTAATGTGCAATCATTAAAAATGTTTTCAGAGAAAAAATAATATAAATCTCTGATTTTCTTTTCAGCTGTTTTAAATGTAAAAAAAAAAATAAAAGGCTCAAAACAACAGAAACTACTGAGCAAAGAATTTCTTGCTCCAACGAATAAAGCAATTTAAGAAATAAACACAAAACTGTTGTTCTAGTTTCCTGGGGATGTATAGGTGTACAAGTCAGTTGATTCAGTTTCAAACATTTTAGAGTTCATGACTTATTTGAGTTTCTCAATTTTGGAGCTGCTTGGTATTCCCCTCCACAGGCTTTAACAAAGTCAGGATTCTCATCATGCATTTTATAAATCTCCATCTTCTAAAGTTGTGCAAGGGAACTTACCTTTTAAAGCATATCTTCTTCCACATTCTATCAAAGCAACTATACTGACTGTAAGAATTAAAATGGATCCTGATTGAAAATTTCCTTTTTATCTTCCAATCTTGCATTTTGAATTTCAGTTCTTTTTAAGTTCAATTTTCATTTAGGATCTTCTTTGCTATGATTCTAAACATGCTACAAGTGCAATCTCTCAAGATTACTGGACCTCATCTTGGCTTTTCTGATGTGCTTTACCCATGACCAGCTCTGTTTTGTTTGTTTTAGGGCTGGATTCGAAAACCACTTTTTTAGACTGGCACCCAATAAGAGAAATACTAATGTTCTTAACCTGGATATCTCTGCTAGTTTTATACATGATAAAAAAAATGCAACACCAAATTATGAAGTCGTGTTGGGATGACTCTTTCAAAAGTCTATGATATCCGAAGCAAAATATTAAAAACAGGAAAATTGTATTGCAAATAAGAGTACTGAACTGTTATGGAATATTGTTCCTCTCATATGGCATAGAATGATGGATTAATCTTCTCAAGAAGAGACTTGAAACAACAGAAATTTACTAAAGAAGGATGCTATGAATACCATGGACTGACGATGGGAGCAACAATGAAGTTCTGGGGAAAATGGAAATAAAAACGGCACTTAGAATGAGAAAGAGACAATTGAAATTCCTGGAGCACATAATAAGCAAAGAGAATAACTTAACCTAGTGAGCTTGTGTAAATGATTGGGAGAACAGAGATTAGATAAAATAGCAAAAACTTATAAAAAATTACTTAGAGCTACAAAAGGGCAGGAATTTGTGGAGGTGCATGATTGTCTGTTCTGAAGGGACATAATATATACAAAGCTCAAACAGTTTTTTTTTTGTTGACTGACTTCCCAAAAATACTATTTCAGTAACCAAACATCAGATTGAGGTGTGGGTGGAGTTGAAGATAAATTTGTGAAATGATGTGTCAAGTTCACTGAACTTCCAGTGGATATAGCTCTGTGAAGTCTTCTTGGTCAGAGCAAAGAAATATATATATATATATATATATATATATATATATATATATATATAGTTTACAAGTAAACGTTTCTACTTTTTGTGTGTATAAAAAAAAATATATATATATATACATCTACACACACACACAACAAACTGGAAAAGTTTTTGTGACTTGTTTCATCCATTACGATTTCATTGGACTGGGCTTTGATGACGTCATGTCTACATGTGCATGAAATGAGAGATGGAGATTCAGGTAGTTTCAAAATTTTTTGGAAGAATTTTTTTTTTTTTTTCTCAATCTAGCCAAATTCTTCTATATTCTTTTTCTCACTATCACCTTTGTCCATGGCTATCCCACACAGTGACAATATAAAATCTGCCAAGAATGGTGACATAATGTAAATTTATCATGGCTGAACTAACAATCAAGGTACTTTCCAGACAGTTTCGTCTCTGTATTATTTTCTCTTTTAATCAAAGTAGCATTCCCTGTGTCAAGATTTTAGCTTATTTTGTTACCTTGAACACCAGTGTGTTTTGTGTGTTGTTTAAAATGTTTCCAGTTTGTCATTTTTTTAAATACTGTTGATATTTAAAATCATACAAACTTTTATATATATATATATAATCAATTACAATGATTAAAAACCAATTTAAGTTCAAGTAAGCATTAATTTTATTGGTACAAAAATGTTAAACATTTTATTTCTTATTCTTTTTTTCTTTTTCTTTTTTGTCTAGAGAAATGGTTGCTTACCTAAACAAACAAATATTCAATTAAACCATTATCCAGTAATACTGTAAGAAAAAACAAGTTTATTCAACAATGGTTTTATCTGTTATATGTTTAAAATTTTCTTTAAAATTTAAAGTATTGATGTGTTTAGATTTGAAAAGTGTATTTGCTGTGTTTTTCAGGTGGTTTATTCCCAAAAAGATAACTCGAGCACAAGCAGAAAAACTGCTGTTAGACAAAGATGAATATGAGCAATATCTTCAACCAGATGGCGCCTTTCTTGTACGGCACAGTGAAAGCTCTCCAGGAGAATTCTCCATTTCAGTCAAGTAAGCCAATCTACAATCATCAGCATCATTACATATCATTTCTCATAAAATATGCTTACATATTATTTCAATTTGGTGATGGTCAGCAAAAATATTGCTGCCATAATAATTTATCTCAAGTTTATAAAAGGCAACAAAAATAAGCTAGCTTTGTTTTGAAACAAGAAAAGCAAAAGGCAGCACAAAACAAAAACTTAGGGTTTTTTATAAGTTCATTTGCTAAAATCTGTTATTACTTCAACAATAAATAAATAAAAACATTTAAATAATATACTCTATATTTTGCTAAATTACAATTGATATTTAGTTAAACTGATCTCTCCTCCCACCAAATAATAATTTATAATACTTTTCAGATATATTGTTCATGAATATTTACAGTATTATGTATTTAACAAAAGAAAAAAAATTAACTGTAATATATATATATAAATAAAAAGGTAGAATTTTTTTTTCTTTGTCATTCATGTCATTTCTTATGTTTGGGGATATGAGCTGAACCTTTGTTTTTGGAGGCAGATGTAAATACAAATTTATTAATAAATTTCAAGTTTGTTTACAAAATTTTTATATTTGATTGTAATCAGCAGCAGCCATAAATCTTCAGCAGTATATTTTAGCCTTTCCTCTATATTAAACATACAAGAGGATAAATATATAATCATACAAAGCATAAAAAATAAACCTACCTCTGCTATATGTTCACTGCTGGATTGTGTGTGTGTGTGTGTATATATATAATCCTGGCTGTTTGTTTCCAAGCACAGTTTTCTGCTAGGTTTGCCCACTAATCTCTGTTGTAGGCACCCACTCAGGCATTATTGTTTCTTCACAGAAGCAACTTTTGGCTTATATTGCTACTATGCTAAGCAGACCTTTGTTACATTTTTCTGGGAGAGTGCATAATCTGACAAGGCCAGTACACTCAAAAAAACCCTCTGTCATGGTGACTTGTGTCTTTGTCCTGGCATAATCATTGACAGCTTCCAAGCAGTTTCATCTACCTAATTTTGCTCACAAGGCTTGAGTGAACCTGTGTTTTTTCATATTCTTATGGATAATATATTTAACCTGGTAAAAGCCTTATTAGTTTAACTCTTTCAGCATTAAAACTAGCAATCTATATTTAGTTCTAAAATAATTCCTAAATACAATTGTTATTGATGATGATGATCATCATCATCATTCTTCTTCTGACTGCTCATGTAGAAAAGCCAATATATGAATGTTGTTTCATTTGTAGAAAGTCAAATTAAAACTTATATTACACAACCTGTGATTACATATTTATTTATACTCAGCCATATTATGCAACTTGTAGTAGTGTGTATGTATGTATGTATATATATATATATATATATATATATATATATATATATATATATATATATATATATATATATAATCATCATCAACACCACCACTTGACAAGACACTAGAAATGTTGAAACAAGATGGTTATATCTGTAGTGATGTTATAACATGCTTATGATATAATTTTTATATATATATATATTATTATGTAAAATATAATTATGTAAATTTCTTATTGTTTTTATCTCACATATATTTAAAAGAATAAAAGAAACAATTTCCAGTGTTTGCAAGAAACACAAATGAAATTGTATTTATACTTCCATTTGATCCCATGATAAAGTTTTTCAGACATCTTTATATGCATCATTCATTTCCTGTCTTCCAACTTTTTTTTCATATTTACTTGTGTAAATTCTTTAATTTAGACAGGCTTTAGTTTTTAGAATATTTGTAAAAGTGGTTAACAGTAATTTTATTTCTCTTCCCTCACAGGTTTAGAAATGAAGTTCAACACTACAAAGTTTTGAGAGATGGAAGTGGTAAATATTTCCTCTGGGTTACAAAATTTTCTTCACTCAATGCAATTGTTGACTATCACAGACGATCATCAGTAAGTCGAGGTGAAACTATTTATCTCATAGACATGCTAACTAAGAAAGACAAAAAGAAACAGGTAAGAATTTTCTTTTTCTATTTTGTTAGTTTTCTTTATTTTCACCTTGTAAAACATTGCCTCTTTACTGTTCTTTTTACTAAAGTTTGATATTTTTAAAATATTTGTTAGAGATAAATGTAACACTGTTAAAAATTTATTTTTGTTTGTTTGTTCATGTTAAAAGAGAAAATAAATCTCTAGTTTTAGATTATTGAAACTAAAAATATAAATTGCCAGTGCTAATCACTGCTATCCCTATCAGTAGAAAATGAAGCTGAGCATAATATGACTATAAAATTAAATTTGCATGGCTACTTCATAGTGAATTGTAAGGAAGCTTATAGACTTTAATGAAACTACCAATGCTAACTTAGTGAGAAAGAAAATTTAAACTGTAAAAATTGGTCTAAAAACCATGACAAAGAATCACTTAAATGCATATTTTTAATTAGAAATAAGAAAAGACATCTTTTTAAAAAAAAAAAAAAAAAAAAAAAAAAGAATGTCACTGCTTGTAGTTAGTTTTCACACACACACACGGGATTGTGTTTGTGTGTATATATATATATATATATATATATATATATATATATATATATAAACTTATAGAGCAATATCTCAATATCTATAATAATTATAAAGTAGTTAGCAAAAGTTAAGGTCATTAGATGGAATTAGGAACATTTAGTTTTAACTAATTACATTCAAAATGATCAGTCAGGATTATATTCTAGTAACTAGTATATCATAATTTTTTTTTTTTTTTTTTTTTGTCAAAATAATTGATTTTAATATTTAAGTTGGAGGGAAATAAGCAACATTTTTGATATGTGATGCTTTTTTTTTTTTTTTTTTTTTTTTTTTAAACAAGCTAAAACTACCAATTGCAAAAATGAAAGATTTGTGTACTTTATAGTAAGGTTCTGTGAATGATCAAATTTATCAAGAGATTTATGACATTTCATGCTTGATGAAACCAGTTGACAGTGATTAAATTCAAATATTACTTGAGAATAATAAACACTATATGAAGTGAGAATTAATCAACATATTCCAGATATTTGGCATCAAATGTTAAAAAACTATTTAACCAAAATGGTTATCTTAGTCCTTTCAATATGTAGTTTCTACAAAAGTGAAAAAACTTAATGGCTTGTGTTTCCATGCATGGTTTTCAAAACAAATTTTGACAAGCTAAAAAAACCAATATTTTACAGCAATATGGTAGGAAAATTATTGACAAAGTGGAAAAATTTCTATAGATAATAGAATGAGTTTGACCATAATTTTGATTTAAAAGAATGTTTCTTCCCTTTAAAAATTTAATTTTTAAATTAAAAGAGAAAACAATTTATTAAGACACAGTGCATAGAAATTGCTTTAATTGGTGTAAATTAAATTTGTGTTCAGATTCTTACAACATTTCACATTTCTTGGCAAATCGTCTATCACAATGTGTGATACTTAATGACAAAAGTGATAAAAACAAAGAAAATTAAATGAAATTGGTTAGACAATATACCCAAACATATTTAAAAAAAAAAATTATTAAATTTAAGATTTCACCATCCCCTCCCCTTTGTGTGCATGTTAACATAAATATCACTTTAGTTGTCCAATGAAGTTGTAAAGGATAAAATACACCACACTTTGTCATTAATTCTCCTAACATTATTCTGGTATATAAAAATTAATATATCATTTTCTCCCACAGGAATATGGTACAAGAGATCATGGGGCAAACAAAATAGGCCACTAACCCTTAACCCCTGCCAGATTCATCAAAAGAATAAGATAACTTTATGCTGTCCTATCACATGATAGGATTGGAAGAGAGTTCTTGATTATGTCCTCCTTCTGGAGAACTAAACAGTTGTTTATTTTGCTTTCAATTGACCATTTGAAGGCAGCAATCAATAAAAAAACATATTTGGATATTGTATTTGATAGTATCCAAGATTCCATTATTAGAATTTCATAAATTTATAATAAATACAGAAACTTCATTTGAACTCAGCTAAACATTAAACAACATTGAAGTTTCTGTAACATTCAACAATTATTTTTAATATTGTCTGCTTGAAAATATGTGTGGCATTTATATGCCATCAAATACACAAGTAATATTCTATCAGAATAGCATTAGACTCCATGTTTCTTTGGTTACCAACTTAGCTGAGTTGTTTTCACTCATTTACCATATTCACTAAATATTTCACCTTTTAAAAGGATTACCATTTATTTGGGTATTTACAGAATTCTCGCAATAAAAATAAAAAAAAAGTTCCTTGTAAAATGCCCCCAGAGTAGTTTTTTTTAATTCTAGGAGGATAGAATTGTAAAGTTGCCTAAAATACAACAAAAGAAAATGGAACAAAATAGTTGATGTTGAAAATTATTATTTTATTTTTTAATAATAAATGAACTTTTTGGTCAACTCCGTATATATTCTCACATATAGTTTACTTCCCATGTCTTTTATTGAATTTTTGTCTTTATTAGAACTTTTCTTTCTAAACTCTTCACCATTTTTTATATCATTTTAGATACTGAAAATTAATTTGCTTCTATATTTTTTAACAAAATAAGCAGTTATTATAGAACATGTTGTTGTTTAAAATTAGAAATAATAATGTTCATAAAAATTAACTGATAACCTTTTATATGTATAACAAAATTATCAAGTCCAAAATATGTAGAGTTTAGGCTGGTGCATAGTGGTTAAAGAATTGTGTGTTAGGAGTTGGTTATTTTTTAATTGCTGGGTTAGTAATACTCATTACTAGATATTTATTGTATGAAAAAATATTTTTTCTCAAATTATATCAATTTGTTCTGTAGTTGCATGAAAACAACTGGGTTTAGAGTTTTTGTTATAACCAAAAATATCTTGAATGATGAAAATGTTTACAAAACATTTATAAGAAAGTCACTGAAGTGTCTATTCAAGTGTTAAATATTATAGAAGCCCTATTTAAGCCCTAGTCTTCTTAGCAATATTTTTTTTATTTTTTTTTTTAAATCAAAATCATGCTTTTCATATAACGTACATTTCTTCTATACAACCACAATTTTTTTTTTCTCCCATTAATATGTATTTATGCTTTATTTTTTTTATTTCAGGTGAAAGCGTCATTTGATTTTGACCCACAATATCCTGAAGAATTACAATTACGGAAAGGAGAGATAATCACAGTTCTAGAAAAGAAGGATGAGAATTGGTGGAGAGGAGAGAATGCACATGGCCAACAGGGACTTTTTCCAGCAACCTATGTTAGTGACATATAACAGTGAAAAACTATCAACCAACATTAAACACACAACAACTTTTTGGCTGCTGTCCCAATGCAAATTTCAACCACAAAAGAATCCAAAGAATTTAGAAGTTTCTTTCTTTTTTTTTTTTTTTCTTCCTTTCCCTCTCTCTTTTCCCCTAATTTTTTTTCTTTAAGATATAAAAAAAGAAGGAAAGAAAATATATTAATCATTCTAGGAACCACATGAAAAATTGACAGAAAGTAGAGGAAAGATCAAAATAAAGACACTTTCTCTCTCATTTGAGAGAATAAGGGATGAAACTAAATTCTAAACAAAAAAAAAAAATTATTTTTTTTTTCCTGCTTCAGCCTCTTTCGTTCATCCACTACAAAAGAGAACAAAAAGCAATCAGTTAAGGAAAATATTTTTATCTTGACTTGAGATAGTTATTTAACTTGTTGTCCTCCCTCCTGCACATTTACTTGGCTCCTTTTTTCTAATTTTTAATTTCTCTCTTTGTTCCCTTTATCACCAACATAAAATACATTAAGAAAAATGAGTGAATTTCTGCTCCACCACCTTATATTTCTGGGTCCTTCTTTGAAATCATTTTTATCATTTTGTTTTTTGAAGATTGAAGTGATATTGAACAAAACTGACAATTTAACTCAGCATGTCTTCCTTGTTTTAAATATCTGGATATCTCATTGGAAGATTCATCACAAATGATTTTACATTTACATACTTATCTTTTAAGAAAAGAAGAAAAAAAAAAGCAAAATTGGCCTTAAATTAAAAAAAAAAAAAATTGTTAAAAATAAAATGCAAAAATAAAAAACAGGGTCTATTATTCCTCTGCCCACACCCACTTACATACATACATACATACAAAAAAAAATCTTTTATTAAAAAAAGTGTTTAAGTCCTATTTCTCAAGCAATTTTTTTCCCTTATACCCTTGCCGTGATGTCTGCAGTGAACTGCTTTTCTTAATTTCTTTTCTCATTATTGTACATTATTCTGCCACTCATACGTTATTTGCCATAATTAATTGTAGTCTTCAACAACTTGGCTTTTATTTCTACTTTTCCTTTATGTTCATTTGCTTTCCCTATAAAATGTAATTCATTGCATTGGGTCTTTTTTCATTATGCTTTCCTTCTTCCTTTCATTATTCATTTTTCCTGTTTTCCTTTTAAATACTTATAATGGGAATTTTGGTGGAATTTATTTAACAAAAAGGCTTCTTTTTTTTTTTTCATATCTTAAAAAGTAAAATGACTTAAATCTTGTGTCTCTCTTAAAGTAATACCCAGTTTTTGTTATAACTTCAGCTACATTAATTTTTTTTTTTTTTTTTTAATTAATACCCCATCTCCCATTATTCCTAAGAGGCTCTGGGCAGGTTGTATTAAACAATTCTCTTGTCTTAACAATCAGCATCTAGGACTAAATTATGCTCCTACAATTGACCCATAACCCTGCTGCAGAACTCGTCCAACATTTGTTTAATTTTTAGTTTTGCCACTATTCCTGCCCTCAGTTTGAGAGCAACTCACAAAAAAAATCGCTTGTTTTACAATCAAATAAAGAAACGTGCAGTTTCATTCATTCCTATAAAACAAAATCTAAGATATTTTTTAAATATATTTAAAACATAACACTGATTAAGAAATCACTGGAATAATAAAAACAAAAAACAAACACTAGTCCTTTTTTTTTTCTTTTTCTTTCAATCTCTTTGTGAAAAGTGTCAGGTTCAATATATTTGCATTCATATCTCTGCAGTTGTCAGTTTTGAGCAGTCTTTATTGAAATATATGAATCATTTGAATTTACTGTCTGTTATGCCTAGAAAAAGTAATACAACAACATATATATATATCAAATCTAGTTTCAAAGAATCAGTGGGGTGGAGGTTGTTGGGTCTTATATGAAGTTTTCCTCTTGTTCTCTTTAGAAGGATATATTAACCTTCATGACCCACATCCTAATAGTCTACTTGCTGTTGTCTTAAGTCATAGTTAGCTACAACTTTTTTTTTTTAATTATCCATCATTTGAGCAACTACAAACTCGTTTAAGTTTTCATTTTGACACAGCTTGAGAAAAGGAATTCTACCAGTGTGAGCTGCCTTTTTACTCATTATAATTGAGTAGTTATCATCTAAGAATTGTAGGGCCCCTGAAAAAAAATATATGCAGACCTTTTTGCTGATCATTTGAACTTAAAAAATTAAGTTGCTAGCATCACACATTTTTGTTTTGAGGGAGGCAGTTTGGTTTTAAGATTTTATTCTGTTTTTATTAGGGTTTCTTCCATATGTGCATGCACACACACACACACATATATATATATATATATATATATATATATATATATATATATACGCATGTGATGGTGATTAAAAAAAGTAATGCAATTTGTTTTATTATACAGGGTGCAGCAGAAATACCCCCCCACATAATGGTAAGACATTAGTGCCAATAATGTCTTGATCTAGATAATATCTTACCATTATGTAGGAGGTATTTCTGCCACCCTCTGTATAAGGGACACAATCAAACACATCATACATGAAGGTATAGCTATACATCACAGGTTCACATCTCTACTTCTCAACATCATTACCAATTCTTTCAATGACAGTATTCCACCTACAAATGAGGTCATGTATGTCAACTTCATAAAACTCAGTTGGCTGCTAATGTAGCCAATTCCTTACAGCAGTTTTCACTTCTTCATCACCACCATAACGTTTGCCTCCTCACTACCTCTTTCATTGGACCAAAGAGATGGAAGTTTGAGAGTGTTAAGTCAGGTGAAAAAAGTGAAAAACCAGTGTAAGAAATTGGTTACACTAGCAGCCAGCTGAGTTTTATGAAACTGAAATATATGAACTCATTTGTAGGTGGAACACTGCTATTGAAAAAGGTGGTGACTATGTTGAGAAGTATGACTATATCTTAATGTACAATGTTTGGTATGTTTGGTTATTTCTTGTATAATAAAGCAAATTGCATTACTTTTTGACTCACCCTAATGTATATGTGCATGTGTACACACATGTACAAATTTATAGTTTTATTTTATAATGCATGTTTAGATATTCTTTCTGTTCATTTGTTTTTATTTCATTTTTCAATCATCTTCTAAAATGGAAAACATTATACCACTTTTTTTCACTTTTTACTGGTATGAGAAGATAGACAAATATCTGCTGAGTTCAAATCATCATCTTTGCTGCTACATAGAAGTTTCATCTGTGCTAATATTTACTCATCTTTATGGGAATCTGGAAAATAAAACTCTTCTCTATGCATGAATACATCCGTGCATATTTAAACACGCACACAATTTTTCATTTGTGTATTTGATGGCATTCCATAATGGAAAAGGGGGAAAGTAGTCAAACATTTCAGCTTTCTTCAAATCTACATGCCTTTCTCTGTCTCCCTCTTCTTTTTTTTTAACATTGTTTCAAAATTGCCTTTTAAATTTCCTAAACAATTTTAAAGAATTTTTTATTTAAATACTGTTACACTTAAAGCTTTGCTGTATTCTTGTTTTTCATAATATCAAATAGATGACTTGAAAAGAAATATGGTTTTTGTTTTCAATTCTAATTCCTGCAAGAAATTGTTTTTTCTATGCAGGTATGAAACATTTCTTACAAGATTTGTAAGAATTCTGTTTTCTGTCCTCAGTTGTTAGAAAACAAAATGCTAGGGTAAAGTTTGTGCAATAGTTTGTGTGCTTTATTTCAACTGAAGGCATTTTCATTTGCAAATTAAAATGTAAAAAAAAAAACTTTCATTTTTTTTATCCATCACATTTCTTTGAAAGGTTTGAGACAATGTTTTTATTAATAACCTACAATATCTATCAGTTGTAATTACTTTGTAAATTCAGCAAAAGATAAATTGTCTTGTTAGTAAAATTTGCTTCCGCATAAATACTTACTGATTACATTAGACAGGCTGCTCCTTTATGCCAATATAAACTGAATGAGTTCAATTTTTTGAACAATTTTTTTTATTGGACAGTAAATACACCTACATCAGTATACAAACTTGGAAATAATTTTGCCAATGATACAAATTAGTCTTTCTCTTTAGCCAAAGTCATTTAGAGGGAGGGAGAGAAAGAGAAAGTGAAGAAATGTTTTAAAGTTGATTTTTAATTCTTGATAAATTTGATTGCCATGTGTTGTTTTGATGGATGGAGTATTTTGCAAGGTAGGAGGCACCCCTTCTTCCTCCAGCATTAGAGATGCTTTCGTTTTGGTTTAATTGCTCTCTATCCATCCTGTCATTAATTCTTCTCTTCCCACCCTTATTATTTCTTCATTTAAATTTAATTTTGTTTCTTTTAAAATAGAAGAGAGGGTAGTCTGAGAGGGCAAAGTCATATTAATACCATCTTATCAGTAAATGAATAAAAGTGACCAAAATTGGTTTCTTGTTGCATTCATCCCCCCCCCAGCCCCATGAGCTGGCTCCTTACCATCAGATCTCTGGCCATACTACCTACATTCATTTTTGAGAAATTAAATATTTTTTCCTTGATTATATTTTTGAGGTAGATAGGTTTCTCCTTCCTTGTCAGTTCTTACTCATTGTCTTAAATGACAAGGCGCAATTGGAAACTAAGTAAATAAAAAGAAATTTATATATATATATATATATATATATATATATATATATATATAATTGTGTGTGTGCGTGCGTGCGTGCATGTGAGCTTATATAGAATAATGCAGCATTGGCAGATGTCTAATCATTAGGTACCAACAAAGTGGCATTTTCTTCTATTTTTGCAGGCTTATCATCTACTCCTCCTTCTCCTTCCCATTTTTTTTTATAGATTAGTGCAAGTCTTGAGACTACTAAAAAAAAAGAAAATCCTGCTTCCTACCTGAAAAAGGAAGAACAAAATCCTATACAATCACCTATCCCATTCCCTTATACTCACTCACAGACACACACACATGCACACTCACATTAGATCATGTGAGATATCTGTAAGTA